TAAAGCAACCGACAGAAAACTCCTGCTTGGACGCATGGACGCAGAATTTAAACTCATGTGAAATTCGCGCCAAACTTATGGGGAATTGAGTCCAGATAGGCATCTAATCTTCAAGATCTACTGCTTTGTTTTTTGACGTGACCTTTTGTGGAGGCAGTAGACTTGGCTGATTTTCAGCACTTGGTTTCCCTGGCCTTTTCGGAGTATCGGATACATTCATCAGATCTTACTTGAAAAGCATCTTTTTTGTCCGCCAAGTCATTCAAACCGTGTTCTAGTTGACTTCTGATTTCTTCGACCTTCGTCTCCAAAGCGATCACCTTGTGGTTGGTGTGAGTAGTCTTCATTCTCGACCCGAGAAACTGTCCACTGCAGGCAGCACACAGAATCGTTCTACACGTTTCACAGTATGCACAGGCTTGTGGGATTTCCGAAGGTGCGGTGGCATTGAAAACAACCGGGTCCATAGGTTCTGTTGAGTCTCGCTCGACTTGATTTGCCTGGTTGTGATCCATGCATAGTGTCGGAGGGTCTTGATGGGTTCTCGTTAGTAAGGATGTCCGACGAAGTTCCTGTGTAGTAGTGAAAAATTAACAACGGCTTTGTCATTTAGCAAGGGATGTTGTCTATAGCGCAGTTGAGTGATAGTAGCCTCTGAGCGATAGCATCTGCTGTCACATCGCTGCAAAAATAGAAAGCTGTCTGTGGAAATCCCAGGTTACACACTCCACGAATGAGAGTACAAATGACAATTTCTATCATTATTTACTGCCTACAGATGACAGTACTAACAAGCATAAGCTGTCTGACGTAGTTATTTAGTGCCTTGAATCAGTTCATGTTTCGAGAGAAAATATTGGAAAGCAGACTTGAGCTTGAAAATATTGCTGTAAACCAATATCTATTGGCTTCATCAGAGAAGAGTTAAAACACTTGGATTCAACAACAAATACAGCCATTTTACACATTGTGAGGGGGGTCGAGAACCTATTAGGCATACAGAAATCAGACTCTTCTCAAGTTTTCAGTTGGGCGAAGAAACTTTGAGAAACTCCAAGTGTCTTGGGGGGAACAACCTATAATTTACAAAATTCCCAATCGCACAA